TTGGTTTTCTTGCGCGAGCACCATTCATTTTTAATCGGGTATAATACCCGTGCGCGTTCTCATGTTCCACTCAGCAGGATCAGCGAGCAGGGAATATTTCTAAAGTGCATGACTGCCTTTCAGCAGGTCATTTTGGAGGAGCAGAAGTCACTCTCCTCCTTGCCTGGAACCTACAGTGTTGTGTGGGGGGACTTGGTTTGCCCCCTACAACAGACAAAAGAGCACAGAGAAAACCAACAAAGATGATTAGGGGACTGGAGGCTAAAACATATGAAGAACGGTTGCTGGAATTGGGTATGTCTAGTTTAATGAAGAGAAGGACGAAGGTGACATGATAGCAGTGTTCCAATATATCTGGGACTGCCCCAAAGAAGAGGGAGTCAAGCTATTCTCCAAAGCACCTGAAGGCAGGACAAGAAGCAACTGATGGAAACTAATCAAGGAGAGAAGCAACCTAGAACTAAGGTGGAATTTCCTGACAGTTAGAACAATTAACCAGTGGAACCACCTGCCTCCAGAAGCGGTGAATGCTCCAACACTGGAAGTTTTTAAGAAAAGATCGGACAGCCATTTATCTGAAATGGTATAGGGCAGTGGTGGCGAACCTATGGGACGGGTGCCAGAGGCGGCACTCAGAGCCCTCTCTGTGGGCATATGTGCTGTTGCCCCAGTCCTCAGCCTTCAGCTGGGTTTTATAAAACCTTTTCGCTTTAGGCCTCTGCCGCCGTGTGCAAAAAAAAAAAAAAGGTCCAATCAATCAGTCAATTTCAACTTCTCGCGGGGAAAAAAAAGATCCTGCAAAGTTGGGATTGATTGATTGAACTTTTTAGCCCCACCCAGTCTGCTGTTACTACCACAGCCACGCCCAGCCAATGGGCCACGCCCACCCAATTGGCCACTCCCAGCTAATGGGCCACACCCACCCGGCACCTGGCGATGCATAAGTGGGTTTTGGGTTGCAGTTTGGGCACTCGGTCTCTAAAAGGTTCGCCATCACTGGTATAGGGTTTCCTGCCTGAGCAGGGGGTTGGACTAGATGACCTCCAAGGTCCCTTCCAAACTCTCTTATTCTATATTCTAAACATACTCACCCGTTCCAAAAGAAGAGAATATCTGTAGCTCGGGATTGAACCGTTTTCTACATAAGTACAAAAACACCCTATACCAGTGATGGCGAACCTTTTAGAGACTGAGTGCCCAAACTGCAACCTAAACCCCACTTATTTATCGCTGGGTGCCAGGTGGGCATGGCCCACTGGGTGGGCATGGCTGTGGTGGTCATGGCAGATTGGGTGGCTGTGGTCAAGATGGGCGTGGTCACCTCAATGTTGCTCATGGGGATGGATGCCTGGAGGGGTGGGCAGGGTTGGGGGAGATTCAGGGGGTCTCTGGCAGGTGGGCGGTAGGCAGGAGGCTTGTCCTGCAGGGTGAGGCGAGGCAGGGCGGGGGTGCCATTGCCACGGGACAAGGCAAGGGCTGGGGTGGCTGCTGCCTGACACCGTTGGCCCCCACACACAGAGGCCAGCGAGCGCATGGGGCCCGACGGTGTCCGTCAACTGCCACAGCCTGCCAGCCCCTCGACTAGCACCTTCTGAGGCTCTGCAGCCTGCAGCCAGCAATTCAAAGAAGCCACCTCTGAGCTGGATGGCCGGTCAACAGCTGAGGAGGCAATGCAGTGGGTCGTGCCTGAGAAAAGGAGAGCATGTGAGGCCAGGAGGAATGGGACAGAGGGAGGGAAACCAGCTGTGCCGGGATGCATCTGGCCACGTGGGACCTCGGCGAGTTAGCGGGCGGCTGGTTGAAGAGGGACAGTGCCGTCTCTGGGGCATGGCACGCATGCCCACAGAGAGGGCTCTGAGTGCCGCCTCTGGCACGCGTGCCATAGGTTCGCCACCACTGCCCTATAAAAAATGAAAAATAACAAGAGGAAAAACAATAAAATAATAACACACACACACATCCCACACACACTACTCCAGCGACAACCCCCGATTCAATGTTCTTGCCGGAGCAGTGCCTGCCTCATTTTAGCAACAGAAATTTGGAGCCCAGGTGTAGTCGTACGTCAAGGACTACGTGTCCTGAAATTAGACTGAGGTCACAAATTGTTCATTTCTATTTTAAAGTCCCTTTGGCAGGGGTGACCGTCGAACAAAGGGAAGGAACCAAACTCTGCAGGTGACTTTGATGGCTTCACCTGTCCTCGATTTCAGCTCCTGCTTTTTTTACTTTTTTCCCCCCCTTCTCTCTCTCTGCGGACATCCAAACTCTGGATGCTCCTGGGGGGAACGACGGCGGCGTGTGGAACACGTGCCGCTCTTTCTCGGCAGGCGTGCGAAACGTCAGATTGCGGGAATTAAAAATGTAAATGATGGCGTCTAATTAACCAGTTGACAGCGGAGCCCAGCTGCCGGTGACAGTGACAGATTACCTTCTGCAAATCTTGTCCTCCACGGCCCAAACAGACTTAAAAGCCGGGGAGAAGCAGGGGACACCCCTGAAGTAGCAGCTTCCTGAAAAAGCCCAGGTCCCCACGCACAAATCTTTGCGCCGCATTAGGAGGATGTCAAAGCCCTGTTAGCTGCAATAAGCTGTTGCAGCTGAGAGCAAACAACGATTGTTCTCACAACCCTGCTCACTAAATCCCTCCATTTTCTACACGGCTAAGCTCTCAACTTATGAACCAAAGTGGGACTAGAATTTTCGTTGTTAAGCAAGGCGGGCGTTGAGTGAGCAGGGCCCGATTTTATGACCCTTTGGGCCCGTGGTTGGTAAGTGAATCACTGCGGTTGTTAAGCGAGCCGTATGGTCGTTAAGCGAATCCAGATTCCCCCCTTGACTGCTTGGCTGAATCTGGCTGGGGAAAGTCGTAGATGGAGATCACAGGACTCCCACCCCCTGCGCGATCCTGCAACCATCGTAAATACCGATCAGTTGTCAATTGCCTGAATTTTGATCCCATGATACAGGGGGATTCTGTAACAGTTGTAAGGACATGAACTGACCAGACCACAGCTCAATACCGGGCTGTGCCCGATTCAGAACTGGGCTGCATGAGTAATTGGCTGGTACACGTGTGCTGCTTGACTTGCGCAAGCGACAGGCTGGTTCCCCTCTCCCTCCCTCCGGTTGGGCCGCCAAGCCATAAAGGTTGGGCACCAGAAATGGGGAATCCGTGGGCCTGTATCTTTTCTTGGGGTCATCTAGATCAGAGGTCCCCAACCTTTTGGGCACCAGGGACCGGGGTCCGTGGAGAGAGGTGTTTCCACGGACTGGAGGGTGCATGGTTTTGTGTGCTGCCTGCATCCCGCGGATGGGGCTTTGCTTTTTTGTGCGGACCGGTTGCTGGCATGCCGCGGCCCAGTACTGATGCACGGACCGGGGTTTGGGAACCCCTGGTCTAGATCTTCTTCTGTTGACTAACACTGGAAAGGATGAGCAAAACGTATTCTTGGAAGAGTGGGAGCGCGTTAGCGAAATGGAAATAAAGAGGGAATGTGTGCTAATGGGGCAACTTTGGAGTGCTCAATGTCAAGGTTCCAACTGACAGACCCAAACAAACAGACACCTTTGAGACATAGAATTCCCCTTCCCATCCCTGAACAATTAGGTGCAATTACATTGTTATGAGAAAATGTCTCTGAATAGAGTCGGACACCTGATGAATCGTCCTTGATTCTCAAGGTCTGCCTCCTTTACCTTTGTAGCCTGCATTCCAATTCCCCATCCTCCCCCCAAGTTCATTGGCAAGTTAAGAAGCGATACTTGTTGCACCAGGAAAGCAAACATCAAGCTGGACACTCAGTTCTCAATACACTTTATCAAAACTTCTCGCAATGGATGGGAACTAATCAAGGACAAAACCCACGTAGAACCGAGGAGGAATTTCCCAACAAAGAGAACATTTAATTTCAGTGGATTGACTGGCCTCCAGAACTTGTGAATGCTCCAACACTGAAGAGTTTGGACAGTCATTTGTCCGAAATGGTATAGGGCAGTGATGGCGAACCTTTTAGAGCAGCGGTTCTCAACCTATGGGTCACGACCCCATTTGGGGTCGATCGACCTCTTTTGCGGGGTTGCCAAAGGCGGCGATCCGCCATTTTGTCCCCTCTGGGGGCGCGCCGCGCCTCCGGGGGGCGGTGCCGTGCACGCGCGCCACGCATGGGGGCGCCGCCGCACCTCCGGGGGGTGGCGCCGCGCATGCGCGCCACGCGTGGGGGGCCCCGCCACGCATGCGCGCCGCGCGTGGGGCCCCGCCCCCATGCGCGCTGTGTGGGGGCGGCGCCGCGCCGCGCATGCGCATAACGTTTGTGGACAGGGGTCGCCATCACACAAACGTTGAGAACCGCTGTTTTAGAGACTGAGTGTCCAAAAACCGCCCCCCCACCCCTGTCCCTGCTCTGCCTTGTCCACTGGGCCACCCACCACCTCCACGGTCCCCCACAGATCACCCAGGCAGCCCAGCAGCGCCATGGCAGTCACGTCCTCTGCCCATGCCCCGCAGCATCATCTGCGCGCGACGTGGCCCAAGAGCAGAGTCTTGTCCCTGCTGCCCAGTTACCATGTCCTTGGCTGCGCTGCTTTGCGTGGGCCTCGCCCAGGGGCGAATCTCCTCTGGGGGGGGTTGCTGATGAGGAGGGGGCCGTGGGAGGAGGCAGGGCTGGGGAGACGGTGCGTGTGCCCACAGAGAGGGCTCCGAGTGCCGCCTCTGGCACCCGTGCCATAGGTTCACCACCACTGGTATAGGTTCTCCTGCATGACAGGGGGTTGAGCTAGAAGACCTCCAACGTCCCTTCCAATTCTGTTATTCTGTTGTAGGTGCTCCAACCTTGGAGGCGTTCAAGAAGAGACTGGGCAGTCATTTGTCCAGAACGATATAGGGTCTCCTGCTTAACAGGCGTTGGACTAGAAGACCTCCAAGGTCTGTTATTCTGTTCTCTGTACATCAAGCCTTTTTTTTATGGGGGTCTCACCCTTTTCGTTTTATTCCCCACCAGGTACTACTCAGATATAGGCAAGATGCCAGCGATTAGCGACCAGGATATGAATGCGTATCTAGCTGAGCAATCACGTATGCACATGAACGAGTTCAACAGCATGAGCGCACTCTCCGAGATCTACTCGTACGTGGGCAAGTACAGCGAAGAGGTGAGCGTGGGGCGGTGAGGCCTGGCTGTCCCAAAGGGTGAACTGACATTTTGTTTTGGCCTTCAGCCACTTCTGTGGCGTTCTTGTGAAATAAAAGCCGGAGGACCATTGTTGTTTCGCAATTGGTTGTCTTTCGATTCCAGGCATAAACGTTCTGCAAATCGTTTCCTGGAATTTTCTGGAATAAAGTTTCTCTACCTCAGCATATTTAGATGGGTGGACTTAACAGGGCTGGTTGGGGGATTCTGGGAGTTGAAGTCCACTCATCTTTTTCAGGAACCAACATGACTTCCTTGTTTTTCTTTGAAGACGTTTCGCTTCTCATCCCAGAAGCTTCTTCAGCTGTGATTGGATGGTGGGGAACGGGAAGACTTATACTCCTTGCAGACAGCTGGTCATTTGCATTCTTTTAGAGCAGGGGCCCCCAACCTATAGGCCACAGCCTAGTATCGGGCTGTGGGCTCTTGGCCAGTGGGCTGTGGAAATGGCTGGCCAGGGCATGCACACGTGAGCGCTTATTCCCTCCAACTCATGCCCACGGGCCCATTTGCATATACACGTAGGTCTGAACGGGGACACTAGCGCGGGTGTGTGTGCGTGCACCATTTGAGCATGCGTGAACAGGCCGCTAGCACGGATGTGTGCAGGGCCCATTTGTGCATGCATGAATGGGCGCTAGCTGCCGTGGGGATGTGCAACCATTCGCACATGTGCATGGTGCCAGCGCATGCCACATGCCCGAACACGGCCACTACTACTGCACCAGTGGACATGACCCCATTTGCGTGCGTTCGTGCATGCAGTAATTTGGAAGCTTTCCCCTCTGGGCTGCCAGAAAGGTTGGAGAACTCTGTTCTAGAGAGTCGTCAAGGCCATTTGAAAGTTTATCTGTTCCTAGAAGGCTCCACACCCATTTGCACCACTCAGGTGACCTTGGGAGCGTAATGACTCCAGGCTGATTCCTCTCTTGACGACTCCTCCACGCTTTGCCTCTCCTTCTCCTACAACTCATGCTTACGGACCTCTAAGACAGAGTCCCCAGCCTTTCTTGGTTGGTGGATCGGAGGTAAAGGGAGGAGGAAGCATTTTATGCGTGTGCACGCACACAACGCAGATAGGGTGGCGCTAGCCCTGCCCCATTTTGTGCCATATGATGCACTGTTTTCACACTAAGTGGCGCAGCGCCTCATTTTCAACACAGCCGTGGTGCTAGCACAAGTGGGGGTGAGTGCCCACACACGTCCGTGCACTGGCCAGCCTGTCCCGCAGCCCGGTAGCCAGCAGACCATAGCCTTGTAGTGGACCCTGGCCCACAGGTTGGGAACCCCTGCTCTAAGATGTATCCATCCATACATCCATACTGTCATGCCTCTGTCGGAGCCTGAATCTGTAGAGGAAAATGAACTGGAACGGGACCCTGTGGAGGGCGAGCGAGAGGTGTCTGTGGCTTCAGAGGAATGTGGGGAAGATCAGGCCAGGGCAGGCCAGGACCCTTCAGGATTGGGACAGGAGGAACAGGAGAGGCAGAGTTCAGGCAATGAGCAAGGGCCACCCCCTCCTGATCCTAGAGCACGGAGAGTGGAGAGAAGGAGGGAACAACGCAGGCAGGCTCAGCTACTTGGGAGGAGAGCGTCCGGCCCTTCTCCACAAGGCACACCTGGAGACTGGGATTTAAGGAGACACTGTGTGGAGAGGTATTTGTCAGGAACAAATGCTGATTCCTTGGAGTTTTGTGTGTTGTTGCTGATCTCTTGTTCTGTGACTTCTGTTTGGAAACCTGGAAACTCGGACCATTGGATTGACTGACCACGTTACTTGAATGTTGAAAGACCTCGGACTGTATTTCGGCTTCTCTCTTTTGAAAATTGCTCAGGCAAGCTAGGATTCAAACAGCAGTTTATGTTGTCTTCCTTGTTATCTCTATGGCCTTGAGTACTTCCTTATGCTAATCAGACTGTATTTGAACCTACTTTCAGCCAGAGTCAGCGGAAGGGGTGTCTGTGTGTGTTCTTTTGTTGGAGGCTTGCCAGCAAATGTGGGAGCATTTGGGGAAAATTTGGAGCAATAAAAGAACGGCTTGAATTGCCAGCTGACTGCATTGCCTCGGTGCTGTGCCCTGGGTCATCACACATCCATACATCCAGTGCATCCATCCATCCCTTGGGTGGTTCCTTTCAGCTGGACACGAGTCCCGTCCACTACTAACGCCTTTCTCCTGTCTCCCTTTTCCACAGATCCTAGGAGCCCTGGATCAGGACGACCAAGCCGGCAAGCAGAAACTCACCTACAAACTTGAACAAGTTGTAACCCTCATGAGCATAGACAGCTGAGAACTGCCCCCCCCCACTAGAGGACTTTTCCGGGAGGGATTGACACAAGCAAATGAACACACACGTACACATACTCACAAACACAAAAGACAAAAAAAAAACCAAGCCGTGCCTCAGTCCAGTTTTTTCATCAAGTGCAAGTTTCCAACTGGCTGCCAAGGAGAGCTACCAGAAGACGCTTTGAAGTCTCCGAGCCTCGCCCGCCGGACCCACCAACCCCGAGGAACACGTCCTCAAGGATTTGAGGAACATCTCTAAGGAGGACTCCCCAAAGACAGGGAAGGTCCAGGTGGGGGTCCCCGAGGTTCCTCTTTGGTGGCAACCAGAATGTACCGCTGCCTGCTCCATGAACCGAGTGGGAGTAACGTTGGGGTTCACCTCCATCATGCTTTGCTGCTTTGAGGGCACGCCGTCCTGGGGCTCACCCGTGCCGAACGGAGCCCAGGGTTCACGCAGAAGCTGTGCCAGGAGAGATTTCCTCTCTTGCCTTCAGACATCCCCACCAGTGTGTGGGGTGGGGGAAAAAAAACCCTACAAAACTTCTTCTCCAGTGGCTGCCTCTCCTCAGTCTTTGCCCTCCAGAAGAGGAATGGAGAGGTTGCTGCAGAGGAACGTCATGGATAGAAGGCCCTCAGCGACCTGTGAACCGAGGGGATTGTCCACCGATCTCTGGAGATTGGGTGGGGAAGGGAAGTCAGCCTTTCCCCTCTTCCCCTCTTCTGATTTTTCATACGGTTTCCTTCTTTTTTTTTCTGTTCAGTTTGGTTTGGGGGATCAATCATGGTTACTTGCGTTGTCACGGAAAGAGAGCTGCTTCTCGCAATCCTAGGTCATCCGCATCCCCACCCGTTCCTTCTCCTGTTACGTCGACAAGCACCCCAGATCCTTTTGCTTCTCCTCCTTAAACCAGCAATGTCGTCTCTGCTGGGGAAAAGGCAGCTCAACCTGAGTTGGGGCCTGCCCTTGAAGACGCCCCAAAGGGTATCTCCCGTTTTCTCTCTCTGGACTGCCTTCCTAAACCACCAGGCCCAGCCGAGGCCCAGAAATAAGAGCCAGCGTTATGGATAAGGCCGAGGCCCCGAGCCTGGAATTGGAGGTGGGGAGGTTGAAGATAAAAGAGTTTGTTATTTTGAGTTGTTGGTGTGTGTGTTTGTGTCGTAACCATGCCTTTCCCAACGAAATGGAAGTTGCGATGGCCATAATAGGATCTGTTCGATTTCCTACCGGGTCTTCCTCTGCGGAACCATCATTACAGCTGGGATAATCAGTCAATCAGAATAGAGCTGGAAGGGACCTTGGAGGTCTTCTAGTCCAGCCCCTTGCTTAAGCAGGAGACCTTATACCATTTCAGACAGGTGACTGTCCAGTCTTTTCTTAAAAACCTCCAGTGATGGAGCACCCACGATTTCTGGTGGCATGCTGTTCCACTGGTTGATTTTTCTCACTGTTAGGAAGCTTCTCCTTAATTCCAGGTTTCTTCCCTCCCTTTCTTCCTTCTTTTACCTTTCTTTCTCTCCTTCCTCCCTCCCTTCCTTTCTTCCTTCTCTACTTTCTTCCTTCTTCCTATTTACCTTTCTCCTTTCCTTCCTTCCTTCCCTCCCTCCCTTCTTTGTTTCCTACTTTCTGCCTTCCACCTCTTATTTTCCTCCCTCCCTTCCTTTCCTTCCTTCCTTCCTTCCTTTCCTATTCCTCCCTCCCTTTTTTCCTTCTTTCATTCTTTCTGCTTTCCACCTCTTATCTTCCTTCCTTCCTTCCTTCCTTTCTTCTTTCCTTCCTTCCTTCCTTTCCTATTCCTCCCTTTTTCCTTCTTTCCTACTTTCTGCTTTCCACCTCTTATCTTCCTTCCTTCCTTTCTTCTTTCTTTCCTTCCTTCCTTCCTTTCCTATTCCTCCCTCCCTTTTTTCCTTCTTTCCTACTTTCTGCTTTCCACCTCTTATCTTCCTCCCTTCCTTCCTTCCTTCCTTCCTTCCTTCCTTCCTTCCTTCCTTCCTTCCTTCTTTCCTTCCTTCCTTTCTTCCTCAAAACAATTCTGATTTGATCCAAGAAAACATCTTACACTTCTCTGTGCCAATAATAACAGCTCCAAACTACGGTAGCTGTGATCAAATCACTCCGTTTCTGAATTCAGTGTTCCACAACTTCTTTCTCCACTTTTCTGTCTCATTTTCCTACAAATTCCGCTGAGACCTCGGTTCCCCAACTGTGCATTTGCACGGACTCGGGCCATCTAAAGCAGGAGTCCCCAACCCCCCGTCTGTGGACCGGTACCGGGCCACGGCACGCCAGCAACCGGTCCGCACAAACAAGCAAAGCCCCATCCGTGGCATGCAGGCAGCACACAAAACCACGCACCCTCCTGTCTGCGGTAAACCTCTCTCCACGGAACCCGGTCCCTGGTGCCCGAAAGGTTGGGGTCCTCTGATCTAAAGCGTCTTCTCATTTTAAATAAATCCAGAGCTGTGTGAAATTTAGCAAGCTGTAGATCAGACATGTCAAACACAAGGCCCGGGGGCCGGATGCGGCCCGCGAAGTGGTTTCATGTGGCCCGCAAAGCCATCCTGGAAATGGAGGGAACAGCCCCCGCTGCCTTGGCCCTGGCCCAGGCCGGCCAGGAGCCAATGTACAATTTTGTGGTGGCCATCTGTGCTGAAACGCATTCAGTCTTAGCTCCACAAGGCCGTCTGGAAACAGCGAGGAACCAGCCCCTGCCGCGTCGGCCCCGTCCTCTGGGTGCATGCTGGGGAGGTGTCACCCTTTGTGAGGAATGAAGAAATGGACCATGCCTTGGAGCTTGCCCCAGTCCCACCCCCTTCTGCCAGAGACCCTCAGATCTGTCCCACTCCTGCCCAGGCCCCCACAGGCCCCCTTGACGCAAACGATGTAGAGCTGGCCACGCCCACCCAGTAGGCCACACCCACTCCAGCCACACCCAGCAAGTAGGCCGCACCCACCCTGGCCACAAACCCCTTCCCCCACTGAGGGCAACCGCAATGCTGATGCGGCCCTCAATGAAATTGAGTTTGACACCCCTGCTGTAGATGGATGCAATTGCTGTCCGTGGAAGCCGGTAGGAAAGTGAAAGAAATCCCAGGGATTAATCTCCCTATTGTTACAGGCAGTCCTCGACTTATAACTGTTCATTTAGTGACCGTTCCAAGCTGCAACAGCGTTGGGAAAAGTGGCTTAACGACTGTTTTTCACGGTTACGACCGTTGCAGCCTCCCCGTGGGCAGGTGATCAAAAATTCAGCCACCTGGCAACCGGCTCCTATTTATGACGGTTGCAGCGTCCCAGATTCACGTGATCCCATTTTACGACCTTCCGACAAGCCAAGTCAATGGGGGGGGAGCCAGGTTCGATTAATGACGACGTTACTAACTTAACCACTGTGGTGATTCGCTTAGCAACTGTAGGAAGAAAAGTCGTAAAGATGGGGCCAAAGATACCTGTCTTGCTTAGCAAGGTAAATTGTGGTCGTAAGTTGAGGACTGTCTATGTGAGAAATTTTGCCTTCAGTAGACCTGGGGGTTTTTTTTGTTCAAAAGCTTGACTATAATTCTGGATATGTTTTGTCCGATGTGCTGGTGGTTTAAAAGTTTGGCAGCCCCCAAACTTCTCATTTAATTTTTTTAATTTTTTCATGGTGGATCGTTCTCCCGTGGGATACCGTCTCGCTCCTACCCTGCCCGTTTGCTGGTTTATGGTTTATTGTATGAAGTGACACTAGAACAGTGGTTCTCCACCTGTGGGTCGGGAGCCCATTTGGGGTCGAACGACCATTTCACGGGGGTCGCCAAACAACGCAGTCCGCCATTTTTTCCCCCTTTTCCTTAGCTTTATCAGTTATCAGGTTTATTTTGTTTTCGCTTTTTTTTTGCTGTCTTCTTCCAAATCATCTTCGTATTCACTTTTACTGTGGTTCTGATGTTGCTCTGTCGATAGAAATTCTCTGTGTGTGTGTGTTTCTCTATTCTCCTTCTCTGTCTGTCTGTCTCTCTCTGCCTTTCTCTCTCTGTGTCTCTCTGTCTGTGTCTGTCTAAGGCAGCGGTTCTCCACCTGTGGGTCGGGACCCCATTTGGGGTCGAACGACCATTTCACGGGGGTCGCCAAACAACGCAGTCCGCCATTTTTTCCCCCTTTTCCTTAGCTGTGCTCCTCCCTTTTATTCTATTGGCTTTTGAAAGCCAATCGAATAGACTCTCTTGAATAGAGTCTAATTCTATTGGCTTTCCAAAGCCAATAGGAATTGTCCAGGCTGTCTCTGCCCTGCTGAGCCCGCCAAAAGTCCCAGTCTGCAAACGGTGCTGCACCCGTTGAGTAGTCCCCGACTTACGACCGGTTGAGTAGTCCTCAACTTACGACCGGTTGGGGGTCGCGGCATTCAAAAGGTTGAGAACCACTGCACTAGAAGATGAGGCAGTTTGGTAACCGGGCTTAACGTGTTGTGCTTCAGAGAGCATGACGGGGTTCACACAGCTTCCTCAGCCTGTGAAATCAACGCATCTGTGTGTCTTGAATGGTAGGATGACCACATGGGACACAAAATAAGCCGAGATTAACCCTAAGCAGGTTCACCGGGTATGTGAATGGAGATGCCTGATCCATAAAGATCTTGATGTGTGTGTGTGTGTGTGTGTGTGTGTGTGTTATTTAATCACCTTCAACGTGGTTGGCTTAAGGCTCAATCCAGAAAAATTCAAGGACCCAGGTAAAATTTAGGGTTCTATCCTACATCCCAAAAATGTGTTTTTTTCCCCCCAGGAAGCAACTGGACTTTCTGGTTTTTCTCTGAAGACGTTTCCCTTCTCATCCCAGAAGCTTCTTCAGCTCTGAGAGGGAGACGCTGAAGAAGAGCTGAAGAAGTTCCTGGGATGAGAAGCGAAAGGCCTTCAGAGCAAAACAAGGAAATCCAGTTGCTTCCTGAAAAAGCATTTTGGGGGATAACGATGACCTGGATGACTGGGAATCCCCATAGACCTTCCATCCCACACGGAATAAAGAAAGCAAAACTTTTTTCAAAATGGTTTTTGTCCTCCTTCGTGCCATTTCCAAGGATGTTGCGATGCAGTTCTGAATTCCCAACGCAATTTTTTAATTTTCGCGGTCCGAGATCTTCCCACCCCCCAAAAAAACCTCTGATTCTTTTCCCATATGAGGACTCTCATGATTTTTTTTTAAAGTGCCATTTACCTGATTTTTTTTAAAATGCATGGCATTCAAAGAGCTACAAGCGGTCATTTCTTACCAAGACTCGCGGGAACTACAGGAAATACAAAGACTACCTTGCTATACTAGGCGGAATTTGAGCCAATGTACTTGTAATCCTCGGCTTACGACCCTTTGAAGTTACGTCAGCAGGGAAGAAAGTGAGTTACGCCCAGTCCTCGCACTTACGACTGTCACGGAATCCTCACGGTCCTGTGATCAAAATTCGGGCACATGGTCTCATCCAGGCCTCATGTGATCACCCTTTGCAGCCCCCCCCCCCATCCAGCTTCCGACAAGCCAGGTCAATGGGGGAAGATGGGTTCACTTAATGACCGCACAATTCGTTTAACGACTGCATGAATTTGCTTGACAAGCCGAGTCAACGGGAGAGTTAGATTCAAGTTAACGGCCGCACGATTCATTTAACGACCGCACTAATTCGCTTAGCCACCCCGGCCAAAAAAGGGGCAACTCGCTTAGCGACAGAAATTCTGATCTGGAGTGTCGTCGTAAGCCGAGGACTACCGGTAATTGTTTATGCCAGCGACAGAACACCCTGGCGATTTTTAACTGTGTTTCAATCCTGTGTGCTGGTGTTCCTCAACCTCCGCAACTAAGAGGTGTGTGGACTCACAGTCCCGAAATTCCCAGTCAGAATGGAATGGGAGTTGTAGTCCACACATCTTCACGTTTGGTACTATAGGTCAACCTCTGCCTGATTTAGTAAAATTCCTATTTTGAACAGGAAGTGTTGGGAGCAAGTCTCATCTTTATAAGACAGTATTACAAAGAGCCACAATAATAATAATAATAATAACAATATTAATAATAAAAACAAACACAGCCTGGATTGCAAATGTACAGGCTTCGGACGATTGAAGTCTGCTGCTTTTCTTCCTTTTCCAGTTATTTTTTTTGTTTTGTTTTAAACCTAATATCTTGAGTTTCCAAACCCAAACCGTATCACAGAAACGATGAGTTCTTTCAAACCAGGATCCTGTTGTTACTTGGTAAAGCTTCTGTACCTTTGTTATACTTCATTGTATACCTGTGTTTGTAAATAGAAGGCGTTCCTATTTTGCAGTCCAGAACAGAACAGAACAAAACAAAACAAAAAAAAGCTATTTGTAATATAGAATAAAGTTTATTTAAAAAAAAGAGAGAGAAA